GCTCCTAGGGATCTCACTGGCACAGCTGCACAGATCAGGGAGCGGCTCCCAGGCTGCATAGTATAGCCTGGCTATAAGGCGTGCAGATGATATACAGTGCCAGGTATTCAGGAGACAGTGAAAGAAGATAAGTAGCAAGAGACAAGAAACTGAAAAATGAAGAAAAATAAAAGGAAAAAAGAAAGAGAAAACAAATAAACAAACAAACAAAAAAGCCCCCAGGGATCCCACCAGCGTGGCCACACACAGACTGGGGAAATTGACCGGGAAAGCAGTTTCCCAGCCGAGCAATGCTTCACAGCCTGTCAAAAAGAAGCAAAGACGGCACATGGAGTCAGGTGTTTGACAGAAAGGAGGGGGAGGAGGTGAGAGGCAGGGAAGACACCAAAAGAGGACAAAAAAAGCAATACCAGCAACAAAGAAATGGCACTGAAGAGGCCGGCTGGTGTGGGTGGGATGAATTCATGCAGCATGGAACCAGCGCCTCCCAAGTTGTGGTCGTGGCCCACTGGGGAGCCGTGGGCCAGCTCCCCAGGAAGCTGGGAATCCGTCCACCAGGAAGCAGCAAATTAGCCCTCCGGGAAACTGGGAATCCACCTGCAGGGAAGCAGCAAAATGGCCTGCCGGGAAACCGGGAATCTGCCTGCCAGGAAGCAGCAGACCAGCCAGCTGGGAGGCAGCGAAGGTTGAGCAAGGGGAGGCAGGGTAGGGGGTGGGAAAGCCTGTCTCGCTGGTAACTGGGTGCTCTGTCTCCTGCTGGGAGTTCCGTGAATCTGCTTTTCCATACTCCCTGTCTGCTGATCTCTAGCAGGAGTCCAAGACGGTGGATCCGTGCTGTATTAGCTGATAGGGGACCTCTGCTATTACCTCTCCTGGCTCTCTGTTCTCTGTCAGTTTCTTATATCATTCGGTGCTTGGTTGAGTTCTTTATCTCTTCATTTGACACTTAGGGTTCCAGGATTGATGTTTGTCTCTGTTTTACTTAGTTTTTTGGGTCTTTGCTGTGGAGGGAAGGTGTGGTGCTTCTGTCTATAGCACCATGTTCCCAGAATTCCAAAACTTTTAATGATTTTTAATATTATTGTTTAAAGAATTTATTTTTAATGTATAATTTTTTATTATATTATTTACTTAGAATTAGATCAGGAGCCACGAAGTCAGTTCAGCCATGCCAGCTATGTGACAGCAAGCAAATTCCTTACCCACTTACAACCTTGATTTTATTATCTGCAAAACAAAGGCACTATATAGAAAATGAATGTTAAATCTAGATAAGTTAGTAAACATTCAACTTAGCATTTATGTGGTACATCATTTACTTATTTACTCTCAAATGTGTCACTTAACTTTTTTTAATTTTTATTTTATATATATATATATATATGGAGCCCTGGTGGTGCAGTGGTTAAGAGCTCAGCTGCTAACCAAAAGGTCCGCAGTTTGAATTCACCAGCCGCTCCTTGGAAACCCTATGGAGCAGTTCTACTCTATCCTATAGGGTCGCTGTAAGTCAGAATCGACTCAACGGCAATGGGTGTGGAGCTTTTTTTGGTATTTAAACATATGGTCTTCTTTTTTAGGGAGCACCTGACAAACTCCACGTAGAGTGAAAATGAGTTTAAAAAAATTTTTTTATTTATTGGTCTTTATTTCATTGTCCTAAAAATATATTTTCTTGATTTTCCTATAGGATAATATATTGCTTATAAATCCTCAATGGAAGCTTACATCTTAAACAAGTCCTTGGAAAATGATGTAATGGTATATCACGCTTATGTAAACAATATTTCCTGAACTTAAAAATTTCTTTATATACTATGTTATATACCCCAACCAAAGCGACTCCAATCAAAATTCAAAAGAACTTCTATTTTTAAAAGTTAAAACTTATCTTAATTACTCATATTATGAGTACATATTGCACGTCTAAACAATGTATCTTGAAACCTTGTGCCTGGAAAATTCTTACTGCTGAATTTCTCCTCCTGTAAATCTGGGCTTAATTTGCATTGAATTTCAATGACTTCCTTAAGCAAACACATGGAGGTCCTCCAGTCTAATGGAAACATGGCTCTACCGACACAATTCTGTAAAACAGTGAGCTCTTTGGCAGTTTTAGAAAGGCTTGCATTTGGCCTTTGTCCAGACCTCAAGCTGTGCACACTGTTATTCTCAGACAGGCAGCTAGCAAGGTACAATATGCCCTTGCTTGAGGGAAAGGATTCGAGTTCAGATACTGCTAAAAACTGGTATTTGTACAGTGGAGCAGATTCATTGTCATGATGAGTCACGCTCATGACACAGTAGGCTCCTAAACACTGTGGTTTGGGACTTCAGCCAAGTCTCCTAGCCTTGAAATGTCACTCCCTACAGAGCCATTCAGATGGTCTAGATTCTAGACTATGTAGAGAATGGAAAAGAACATGCCCCAGATTCTGCTGTGTTTCTCTGCCCCTGTTGATCTTCAAGAAGACACTAGACAGCCATCTATCTTAGAGGAGCCAGGATCTGATTTCTTAATTTCCCTTCTACCTCTATGATAAACCAACTACAAAAGTTGGAGTTAGTCCAAAGAAAAGCAATCAGTGATAGCAGATTTAGCAAAAGGAGAATTAAAAAGTCTAACTGCTCAACATCAGCAAAAAACGGGAAATGAAGCAATGCTCACTACATGTCTGGAAAATATTAAATGATGCAGAACAGTAGGAAATGTAGATAGGATATAAAAGCATAAATCAGGAGAAAAGGAAATGAGCATACACACAGACTACATTCTAGAATAAAGTATTTCTCAACCAAGGCACACTGTGTTCCACAGTGGTGCTGGGAATGTCCTGGGAACCTCAAATTTCTTTGCAGAGTACTGTGAAATTTTTCAAAGTGTGGAAAATAATTTCTGGTAGAAATGAAGCTACATATTATTACAATGTGAGCACATAGGTGAGTGGGCTTGACAAAATGGGGTACAGCTGGATCTAAGGTAAAGATAAGAGACATTAAGAAGCATTAAAGAAAAATCATGTATTTATAAGGACAGGCAACGATTTTGCTTTTGAGCATATGTATGCCAGAGCTTAGGGCAGAAAGTTTCTCTCAGATAATGGCATAGTTTAGAAAAGCAATCACATAAATAATGTGGTATCTCTAGATGCTTTTCTAAAACTTGTGGGGCATTGTTATATGCAGGAATGTTTTTATTGCAATTTTTGCTGATTTGTTTTGAGCCTTTGATCATTTCAAATTTATCAACACTTTTATTTTCAAAAGGGTGTCTCATATTTTAAAAAAATGAAAACCAATGACCTAGAACAGTAATTTTAATTTGGAGAGGAAGTGAGAATATATTATAATCAGCTGACACTTTTAACAAGTCTAGATTCTTGAAGGATAAAGTCCTGAGTACTGGAAAGCACACACAGTATAACACATCAAACAATTATTTGGGAAGTGGCCATGAGAGGAATATAAAAGCAGTAGAGGCCAACTTAACTGAATTTGCAGTGAAATTACTGAGCTGTAATACAACTGGTCAAGTTAGTAATGGGAGACTTTGAATACCATGGCTTAATAGAAAGTATACATGGAGTTTTTAGAGATATTTCCTATAGCTACTGATCTATGGAGCCCTGATGGCTCAGTGGTTAAGAGCTTGGCTGCTAACCAAAAGATTGGCATTTTTAATTCACCAGCTGTTCCTTGGAAACCCTATGGGGCAGTTCTACTCTGTCCTGTAGGGTCACTATGAGCTGGAATTGACTCGATGGCAATTTTTTTTTTTTTTTTAACTGATCTATAGGCTGGTGTCTGATTTGTTACCACCTAATAAAATAATGGATGCCTATACAGAACAAATGTGTTTGGCTATTATAACATTGCTCATCTACAAAGTAAATCATTAATGTATCTGTAGTAGACAATGATTCTTAATATATATGCATCAATAAGGAGAAAAAGGGCCAAAGATTATGATGAGGCAATTCAGAGGAGAACTACAAATAGCCAAAAGACATATGCTAAGATGTCAATGTCACTAGTAATCAAAGACTCTCAAGCTACTTGGGGGAGATGGAGCGGTAGTAAAATGGCAGAACATTCTCTCTTGATTTGTGGGACTAAGCAGAGGAGGATATATAGCTCTATACTATGTCATGTTATTCATAGAAATTCTCTTTTCTCCTCTCCTTAAAAGTCAAAAAACCTAAACCCGTTAACGTTGAGTTAATTCTGACTCATAGCGCCCCATAGGACAGAGTAGAAATGCCCCACAGGGTTTCCAAGGCAGTAAACTTTACAGAATCAGATTGCCACATCTTTCTCCTGCAGAGCAATTGGTGTGTTCAAACCACCAACCTTTCAATTAGTAGCTGAGTTCTTAACCACTGTGCCACCAGGGCTCTTCTCCTATCCTTACAGGAACTAAAATCATTGCCTCAACTCTCTCTTTTGTTTTGACTATGAAACATTGGGCTTTAACAGTAAACATAATTAGAGATAATTGAGTTAGGAAACTTTGATTTGGTATTCATCTTATTTATTTTTTTGAAGATTTTACTTAATGTGCTGTTTTGACAAGAGAAGAAATAAAAATATCAATGAAAATAATTAAGAAATTAAGAAAAGATTAAGGAATCTGAAAATGTAGAAACTAAAAAAAAGATTATTCAGTAAACTATTCCTGTATCCAAACAGGAAAGTTAGCAGGCTAATTTGTCCATTTATTTTATTTTATTGCCATATTAAAACTTTCTTCTCCAAGGAATCTCAGAATGTTAGCTCTCAAGGAGATCTTAGAGATTACCCAGTCCAACCTTTCATCACTCAAACATGAGAACTAAGGCCATAAAAACTAAATGACTTGCCCAAATCACATAGCCATTCACAACAGAACTGGCACTAGAATACAATGATCTTTCTACTAAATCTCAACTTGATTGGATTGGTTGATTAATTGCCATTGAAAAAGGATATAATTCCATTTGTTTTTTCACACTCATTCCAAGGGTCTAATGTTCCTGAAAAGCTTTACTCTCCTCCCAGTTACCTTTTAAAGGACACCCCAAGATGGCTTGGGAAGCTTTTAAGTACACACGTTCCTTCCTTTCCCTTTCTTATTAAGGTGAGGATGGAATATGTTATTTAATATATCCTACCACCTTCTCTATGGACACCGTGTCTTCTCTGGGTTCTCTTCAGTATTTCTAATAAACAACAATGACCACTGGGCATTTTAAAAATTTATTGCAAACGCAGGACTACTGCAAAAGAGAAGGTAGCGAAAGGTATGAGGTTATCAAGAAAGGACATGAATAAAGCACAGGTAAAGGGAGAATAGAGCCCTGGTGGCATAGTGGTTAAAGAGTTTGACTGCTAACCAAAAGGTCAGCAGTTCAAATTCACTAGCTGCTCACTGGAAACCCTGTGAGGCAGCTCTACTCTGTCCTATAGGGCCGCTATGAGTCAGAATTGACTCAATGGCAACGGGTTTAAATGGAGAACATCCAGATACAATTACATTTGAAACTAATAAATCTAAGACAATAGGAATACATTTGTACGGATGTTCAAGTTAGACAACTTATTCTATTAAATCACAGTAGCTAATGCAATATTTTGCTTCCTAGGGAAGGAAACCCCCACACGTCTGTCAGTTTGTCGTACTGTGGGGACTTGCGTGTTGCAGTGATG